GCTTTAAAGGCTACAATCTTTCAACCACCCAAAGTTTGTCTTATAATTTATCAACCATATTCTGCAAAAGCAAGGAGAAATTCTGTTCTCAGAGGTAGAGTCCTGAGCATGTGTGGAAGGAGAGACGTTCTTTTCAGCCTGTGTTAAGCTGCCAGCTTCTCATGGGGATGGAACGTCATCTATCGAGTGGAAATCGATATTTTCAGAAATGCTCCTCATCTAATAGTAGAAGTGAAGAGCTCCCCTGCCCATGCACTGGGGACCTCAGGTCAGACCATGTGGGTTTTGGCTGGCTTCTGGTGTGCCTCTGTGCCCTGAATCACATCATTTCACATTTTTGGTCCTCAGTGTCACCTTCTCTGAAATGGAACTGCTTCCTGGCCCATCCCATTATTGAGTAGAGCCCTTTGGTCATTCACATGGTGGGCATTAGAGATGGAGCTGGGTGTATTCTGGATCACTGCTCACTGCCATGCGGCCTTGGACAAGCTAGCTAATTTATGTCCTTATGGCATCTACCTCTGTAGAAAGGATAACAACATCCACACTAAATGGTGGTCGTGGGAATCTGATGAGACACCTATGTAAAATGATCTGCACAGTGTCGAGAACCTCAGAACTCACTATCATTTTTACCCTCCTAAGGAGGTAGAGGCAGGACAGAGAACAGACCCCTAACAGCTATGTGCTCTTGAGAAAGTTATCTGAGGCTCAGTTTCTTCATCTGTAGAATAAGAACATTTTCTTCACAGGGCTATTACGAGGCTAAAATGAGATCATATTAAATAGGATAAATGAACAATGTCTGGTCCCAAAGAGGTTATCTGTAGCTATCGATTTCTCTCTGCCTTTTCCCTGTGTCCTGATGAAGAAAGACTAAAATGGGAAACGAGAACATGAAAATAACACATTAAACAAATCTACACGTAAGTACTTCTCCCTTAGAGTAGAAAGGACTGGGGAACAGTGAGAGACCAAAACACAGGAACCGGTTTGTAGAAGCAGAGAATCCTGGGACTTTCTGAATCCAGGCCCTGGATAATCAGTTCTTGGTAATCCAGTGGTGGTTTTCCACTTCCTTAGACATTATCACGGCTGAGTACTATAGAAAGACCAGGATCTCTGGAGCCAGGCCGGGGTTTAAATTCCCCCACTCAACCATAATGAGCAGGCAGATTGGGGCAATTTCTCTGACCTTCCTGCACCTCAGCTTCCTCACCTCTAAAACTGGGGTAAGACCTTCAGAGAGTGGCTGTGGAAGTGTGCAGCAGAAATGCTGCTGGACCGAAGATGCTCCATAAGGCATTGAGATTTTTCTTCCTTCACAGGCCAACGTCACTATTGATCCCGCGTGTGTGCTTATTCGTTGTTTAGAGGAGATACAGGTCAACTGCCATGATTCTAGATTCCCTGGGAGTCTTCACTTCAAGCATCACTTTTCTATTGTCAGACTTTGTATCTGGCTATAGGTTCCCACCCTCCTTAGAGTGAAATAGCATGGCCTCTAGGCTGTGCAGAGTCGAGCCTTTGCTTGCCTTCTCACTTCCTGTGCTGCCATTCTCCACTTCAGCACTGCTCTCCTTTCATTCTGCTATGTTCCATCACCGGGCTGTGCTCGGCCAGGAATGAGCATGCTCATGCTCTTCCAGTGGATGGCTCTACTGCTTTCTTCAGGTCATCTCTTCAAAAGGGGGGTGGGATCTCTGGTAACCCCTTTACTCTTCATCTTTAGTTTGTTACTACTTTTATGCCCTTTATCACAATGTTAACTATACATATCTGTTTAGTTACTTGTTTTATGCATCCTTCCCACTAGCTGGTAAGGTCCATCAGGCCAGAGTCTCCATCTGCTTTCCTTCGAGCTGAATGGCAAGAGTGTACTCTAGAAGGTGCTCAGTGAGTACTGGATAAAAGAGTAAATATTAGCTTCTGCATCTTGGGGATTTAAACATAAGGTCATTATGGGCTGGAAACCGTATGAACCATGTGAGCTTGCTGAGGGCTGCTCTGTACTCCTGTTTTGGATAATTAAGCCCAGTCCCATTTTATTATGAGAAAATAACCAGCCACAAAACAACATCCATGGGAACAGTGTGGTGTAGATGCTTCAGATTGGGGGGGTGGGATAAAACAAGAGCTTTTTTTTCAGTATCCAGAGGAGAAATGAACCCACGTCTTAAAAATAGCCAACTTTAGGCCCTAATTATTTCTGTCTGGCTTGAGAAAGATGAGCTCTGCTGTGCCTGTCCCCGTTTCTCTGTCCAAGCAAATGAATTAACAACTGCCATAAACATAGGTTTCGAGTGTTGGAAGGATGGAAACCACAAGCATAACTCCCAGATAAAAGCTCATAAGAATGTTATCATTCAGCTCAAGTTTGGAGACTGGAGTCTCAAATTATTATTTTTTCCCCTGTTTTGGGGAGACCATTTTGCAGAAATTCTTTAAACAACTTTGGAGTTATTTTCTTTTGGGGGCGGGAAGAGCTTTCCAAACATCCGGGCTCACATTGAGCTTCGGTGAGTTGCTAAGGTTGAAATATTCAAGGACAACATCAATTTGTGCAGATAAAAACAATTTTAGTCCTTTGGGTAAGAACTGACTCTTGAATGATGGGGGCACATGGCTCATAAGGACCTCTGAACAGGTATGAGTTGTCCCTGTTCGGAATCCGTCCATCCGAAGGCAGGACTGTGCAGTAGCTTCATGCTGCAGTGGGCTCTTACCTCTACGTGGCCCCCTGCCCCATCCCATTCTTCTTCCTAAACACATGGACACAGCCATCAGATTCTCTTCTTACATATCACTTGTTAGATGTTCCAAATGTTTCAGTGATTGTACCCACTAAGTTGGAATCAAAACTCCTTCAAAGCTTTTATCAGTCTGCTTCCAAACCAAGGTCTAGGCTTCTTTCTTATTACTCCTGATCCTTTACCCAAACTCTACCCTCAGACATATAGGTATTATTTTTGTCCTCAGAGTATCTTTTTCTCTTTCCCAGCCTTTGGGCTGAGGTCATGTCATCTCTTCCCTGGTGCTACCCATCATTCCTCCTTGGTCTTTCATGGATTCAGGTCTGTCCCACTTTCTCATGATGGCTCAAGCCTATAACAATCCACTTCTAATCTTCATGATTGGCCCCCACACCTGCTGTTAATCATGCTTTGCACCATGTGGGTATTGTTTTATATGTTTATTGCACTTCTTGTTGCTTATATTACCAAGTATGCCATACTGATCCCAGAAATTATCTGGAGCAAGGATCTCTTGCTTGAGGACACATTATTGGGACTGATAATTCTCTATCTCTCAATAATTGCCACTTTCTGAGGAAAGTAGTTTGAATTGATTTCTATTCCTTGTAAACAAACACATCTTGAATAAGATGACCATCATGTGTACATATTTAAGGTAGGAGTTCCCAACCTGAGATGAGATTACTTTTCCACAATTCTGAAAACTTAAGGTCACATATATCAATGTTCTGAAAGTGCACCTGGGGCATTTATTTAAAAAAAAAAAAAAAAAACAGATTTAAAAGACACAGATTCCTGAGCACCATCTCATACTGTCTGCAATAGAATCTCTTGGGGTAGGGCCAGAAAATTGGTATTGTGAACACGATTCCCAAGTGATTTTTATGTATGTTCAAGAAAATCTAGAGGTTTGGGGGAAGTTGACATTAATGACCATTTTATGATGTGGAAGGGAAGTGGAAAAGGAAATGATTCATCTATCTTGAATACCTATTATGTGCCTGGAAAAATATTGGGCAATTTTACCAGTGTTATCCCTTTTAATCCTCAAATGGGACTGTGATATAAGTCTTAGAAGGAAACAAGGAGAAAACTCATCCATGGATCTACAAATGGTAAGTCACTGGTCCAGCATTTAAACTTGGATGACCAGCTCCAAAGGTCTTATTTCTCACTCTGCAGTTCTTTGCAAACTTTGGAGGGAGGGAAAGGGGGCATGATGGTACAGCCACATTGGAGTTTCCTAGGTCGGTCTGAGGGAACTAGGCAGAGCCCAGTACTGGCTAGTAACCTCTGGATTAAGACCCCCTTGACATCTGAAGGGGATAGTGATCCTCTGAGCTCTGAATCTGTATCTTGGACCCTGAGTCTAGAGTCTTGGACCCTGAGGTGGGCTTCTACTAGAGAAACTGTTGGGCATCTGCTCAATCACAAAACCTAAAGGTGGAGGACACAGTGCTTCTAGACTTCATTACAGGTGCATTACAGATGCAGCACACACACTGGCCTTCTGGCTGTGGCCTTCAAGACCAGCATCATCCAATATTCCAGCTGGACCAAGGGCCTGGCTTATGTATGGAAGATGGAAAAGAGAGGCCATGGAAGTCAGTGTCTTGTTCACTGACAGGAAAGGGGCGCTAAAAAACCCCACATTTGTGTGTGAGGGATTGTTCCATCCAAACTAGGTTGGGTCGAAAGAAGGGATGGTGACTGTAAGCCCTGGAGAATAATGAAGCCCTCATATTTGGGGACAATAGGTCTAATGCTGTGGTTCCAAGAACATCCTCTGGGAAGCACTTAAAAATCCCGCTCCAGATGACCTCAGTAGGCCATCAGAGTAAAGAACCACTGGCCAAAAGTACCTCTGATGATCAAGAGACACAGATTGAGCCTGAAAATTTTCTGAAGGCAGTTTGCATTCAGTCATGTTTGGGAAAGCTGAGGTCAAGTGCACATCATCAACCAATGCTTCCAGTATGAGCACTGGAGGCACCTGAAGTTTGGCTTGCTGCCACAGCACAGTTCCCTTCAATTTTTAATTTACCTTGGAGGATAGAATTGGCATAAGAGAGAAAAGACATGTGTGAAAGGCAAGTGGGAGAAGTGAGACATGACAGATAACAAAGATATACAAAGGAGTGCTGCCTCAAGCAGAGAACACCGGAGAGAAGACTGGGGAATTTCCAGTGGATCAGGGGTCAGAATGTGCCCAATGTCCAGTTATAGAGGAAGTGCACTACTCACCGAGTGGATGATTCCTTGCAGAGCCTGAAAACCATCATTTACAGGAAACACATGGTCCTTACTGTCCGCAATCCGGGCCAGCTGAGAACACAGCAAGCACACAAACACACATGGAGATGTGTCAGGCTTGGCCACAGAGAATTTAGTCAAGGGGATCCATCTACTTTTAGAGCCCAGAGGAACTGGAGGCCTTGGGCCTCACTGAAAAGCCCTCAGTAATAATGAGATTACCAGCAGCCTCTCTGGAGCAGGGCTAGAGGGTTGGCTCCAGCTTTTACATTTGTTTTATTGTTTTTCTCCTTGGGACCAGAGGTAAGATTGCTCAGCTAGATGAACATTTGGCCAGGGTTGATGTATTCATGGATTTGGGGGCAGGCCATTGGCTCATTTTTCTCCCATTCACTCAAATTTCTGTTGGAAACTGTATTTGAATCAGATAGACTCAAATTTCCTTTCAGGGCAACTTTAAAAACAAATTCAACCTTTGGTGTTGAGCAAAGTCAATGAATGGAGACCCTTACCTTTTGCCCAAATTGCTCATTGAGGAAAGGACTCCTGCAATTGGTTTGGCTCCCCTGCTTTATGGAGCAGAGGACAGGAGAAAGGAGAATCTGATCTGTGGACTTTTCTATTCCAAATCTCTATAGTTCTGTCACTGCTAAAGTCATAGTCAGTGCCAGGACTTTCACTGATTGCAAAAGTAACACATAATCAATGAAAAGTTTCAGAAAATCCAAGAGTGTTATAAAAAAAAAGTTTCTATCTATCTATCTATCTATCTATCTATCTATCTATCTATCCATCCACCCATCCATCCATCCATCCAACCATCCATCCATCATCCATTCTTTTTCTATTACTGTTAATCTGATAGACTATGTAGTCTTTCAAAGTTCTCCTAGCCAAACGTACACATTTGTTTTAAAAGTGGACTCCTACTGTTCCCATTATTTTGTAACCCTGTTATTCACCTAATAACTTAACATAAACATTCTTCCATGTCTTTAAAACAAAAAAATGATGAACTACAATGAGGAACATTCATATAGGTTGTTAGTAAAATTTCACAATTTGCATATAAATACTGGTACATACTTTCTGCCCACTTGCCAATTACAACTGACACTTGAACAATGGGTTTTAACTGAGTGGGTCCACTTACATGTGGATTTTTTAAAAATAGATACAATACTGTAAATGTATTTTGCTTGTGATTTTCTGATAACATTTCTTTTGCCTAGCTTCTGTGTTATAAGAATACAGTATATAATGCATATAACATACAGAATATTCATTAATCAACTGTTTATATTATTTCCAGTCAATAGTAGGCTGTTAGCCTACTCAGTTTTGGGGGAGTCAAAAGCGGTCCATGGATTTCTGACTTGCCATGAGGTTGGTACCCCACCCCCTGCATTGTTCAATGCTCAACTGTAAATTTATTTTTTCGTGTTGAAAATGTACCAAATTTCTAATGGAAAAAAAAGAGATGTTTGACATTTAAACAAAATTAGATTCATTAAATTAAATGAAAAAATACCCTGCAAAATTTCTAATTTTATTCAGCTCTGTTTTGACATCTTGGCAATTTAATATCTACCGAGAAAGTCCACCAAGGAAGATGCTGCCTGGATAGTCTGTGTGCAAAAGCCCCAAGTGCATTGGCGTGGCTTCATGTCTCTTACATATCCAGTGAGTCTCGCCGACTCAACATCTGTGGAAAAATAACCTATCTAAGGAGTGTTTATGCTGCTGATATCCCCTCTGCATGGAATGCACATGTTCTCTGTCTTCACAAGCTTACTATGCCCCCCAACCTGAGGAAATCCACGACCGTACCTGTGTTTCATTGAAATCCTTCACACCGACACAGTACACAATTGCACCAAGATCTCGGGATCTGTTCGCCTGGGTAAATGAAGAAAAGCCATTAGAAAGAGAAACGGCAGAGCACGGGGTGTTATATGGAAACCAACTTAACAATAAACTATTAAAAAAGAGAGAGAGAGAAGTGGCAAACATACTCCTTTTGGATTAACCAGACTAACTTCCATGATCAGGTATTTATTGAGCACCTACGATGTGCCAGGTACCACAGCAGAGAGGGCAACCCGTGTTCCCAAGGTGCTCATTCTCTGGTAAACATCACATTCTAATGTAATACACATGGACATGAGGGGAGTGATTAGTCTAGCAGGAAGCGCTGGGAAAGAGCCACAGAAGTAGTCTTGATGAAAAGATTTGAAAGATGGAGGGAGGAAAAGGGACTGTAGGCTAAGATAAGTCTTATCAAATATTCTGGGGAAATTATTCTTTTCCTGTGAAGAATTTTTATTGACATATTTTCTTCCTTTGTAATAGCAGCATGATATTAGTAGAAAAGATGTGGTCTTTGGAACACCTAGGTTTGGCTTTGCTCTGCAAAGAGTTTGGGGATTCAATGGGATAATACGTGCAAAACTCCTTCCCTACACAAGGCCTAGAACAATGCAGATACTTATAAATATCAGCACCCTTTGTGACTAAGGCCTCTTTCATTCCCATAGAATACACTGGTTTAATGGTGTGGGAATTACAGTCTATATTTGAATTGGTGAATTCATGACCTTCTTTACAATTAAGTATTACGAGAGCAACATAATGAATTAACATCCAGGTTCTGGATTGATTTAATATTTGCTTTAGTAAGGCTCCGATATCTTATTCCCAGGTTCTTCTATGTTTCAGAGTAGAAAACAGAAATTGGAAATTATTGAAATATGCAGTTGGTGCTTAATAAATCATTGGTAGTAAACATGTAGTAGGTGCTCGATGTATGCATACTGATTTGAATTGTGCTCCTCTCCCACTCCCCACCTTAATTTTCAGACCTACTTGTGACTGAAACATTCTGCAACACGGAATGTTAGAAGGGACAGAAACATATATATCTTTTTTCCTTCATGTTACAAATATGGCTTTGTTGCTTTAAGGAAAAAACAAATGTTTAGACAGTCTAGCTCCAGACTTATCTGTAATAACTTCTGTGACTTTTCCCCTCTAGTTGGGCTTTGTATAGGATTATCAAACATGGAAAGATTCATTTCTTTATATATCTTGGGCTTTATCTTTCTTTTTCAGAAAGCCTCCTTCTCTTGGCACTGGCGCTCCAAATATTTTTCCAAGTTTGTATGCGTCATACCTAAAATTCTTTTCTACTAACCCCTGTATTAAGCCTCTGACATCCATCATTTATTTTATATTCAGTTATTTCCTTATTAGGGTTTTTACTTTATTTCATGGTTGTTTAGCACCCAAAATAAGCCATTTGGCATTCCCATTGTATAGTTAGTGTCAACGTTAGAATATAGAAATGTATTACTTTCCAAATGCTCAGGCAGGGTCTGTCACATTTACTTGTGTGTCTCCCCATCACAAAACAAAAATCTTCTGTACTAGTTATGGGGGCGGGGGGGAAGTAATGTGTTTACCTACATCATTTCTTCATGCCCTTTCCCAAATGTCACTACATAGTAAGTGCCATCAGGGCAGCAACCATATCTTCTTCACCTGTTTCCCTAGTATCAGGGAAGTGCCTGGCACATGCTGAGCTCTCAGTTAACACTGAATGAATGAATGAATGAATGAATGAATGAATGAATACTTCTTATTTGTCAAGGGAGCTGAATTTAAGTCAAACAATGGTCAAGAACTTGAGGTAAGTGTCATGCTCTACTTAACTTCTCCCCCAGAGGCGAGAATCTCCTTCTTCACTGCCTGTCTTCCCCATTGTATTTCTTTCTTATTTGGTCTGAATGAGCCTTTCTTAGTTTGTCAGTGATGCTCAACTAGTTTCTTGGTCCAATTATACATGTAGCTCAAATCTAAGGCTTAAAAAGAAAAGATTTCCTAAATATAAGCTATACTTTTTAATTCCTGAATAAATACATAAATATAAAAAAGTTTCCTGAAACTCTTGAAGGCTTCATTTAGAGAGAATCTTTCACTTGCTTTGAAGAGTACTTTTTGAGAACATAAAGGAAGGAGAAATACTGCAGGAGGAATTACAATTTACTTTGTTACCAATTAATATTTAACTTTGATTCTCAGAGTGAGACTATCCATGATTAATACGTTCTGACAAGATTGGCTCTTGTCAAGTACAAAGAAGTCAAGTACTTCTTTTCCCTCCTGTTTTTAGTAGAAATGGAGGGAAAATGGTACCAATGTTTTTTTAAAAGTGATATATTTTAGGTCAAAACTGCCAGGTAAATAAGTGCTTTCAATAAAGTCACTCCAAACACAGGGTAATAGGCAAGTATTTTGAAAGGGGAAAAATATTTACCAGGCGTAAGACACAAGAGTTCACTTTAAAAGAATGAATTATTATTATCTTTTTACAAATGAGACACTATTTGATCCAGGGGTTTTACAAAGAACACTGATCATGTTGTCTGAGTAGAAAGATGGCAGCCCATTTGAGGAGGAAGGAGCCCTGTTTTCATGTCTGTGTAGATATAGGCCAGGCCATTGCTTACCTCCCTCTCTGAATAGAAAAAGAGATCTTCATGGAGTTCCCCATCGGTCAAAGCAATGATGACGCTGGCCGTCCTGTATCCTGCTCAACACAACACAGACCCACTCAGTCCATCCCGCCGCACTCAGGGAAACCCCTCTCAGCCTGGGGGTTGATCTCTTATAAGCTCAATCACCCCAGGTCAGTATTGTGAGAACCAGTAACTTTTCTTTTGGGACTAGAAGCAAGTCCAGCATGAAGAAGCATGCATCTTCATGTGGGGACAGACTCTTGGGAAAGTAGGTTTTGTTTGTAAATTTCTCAGTCTTATCTCAATAAATGGTCCCTGGATTCATATCTGGGAGTAGCGTCGGTGAATCAAATTTCTATTATTTTCTACTAGCAGTCCATGCGATTGAGGTGAAGGGCTCGGAGGAAACTCTACAACCTGAGCTGTTCAGGAGTCTTTCTCACATGCTGTGGTTGACCTTATATATCACCCCTTGAAGAAGTGGGCAAGGAGTCAGAGCCATCATGATTTACAAGCTGAATGGAAGTTATCATAGCAGTTGGCAAAACTTACTAGAATACTTTCAGTGATTTTTAGACTTCTAGTAAAATCGCTGATGATTGGTTTATACTAACAAGCGTATGTGTCGATACTGGGTCTGTTCTGTTTGTTGTAGTTGAGAGGGAAATGGGAAGTAGACACCTCAACAGGCTTGGGAGAAAAGTCCCCACTGTAATATTGAACCTCCTTCAAAAGATTTGTCTCAGATAAAGAAATACTATCCATGAAGGACACTGCAGTAATCAGAGTAACAGCTAAAATTATAATGACAAGTATTCTTTTCTATATGTTAAGTAGTCTGTTAAGTACATTGTGCACATTTTTCTCATTTAAATGAAGCAGACTTTAAATCACACTGGTAACTTCATCTTAATATCATATCCAATCACAGTAATGAAGAGGCTTGGAGCTTGGGAATGGACAAAACAAATTAAATTTGACATAAAAATCCAAGACTTTACTAACCTATCCAAGTACTTATTAGTTTAATGAATTCAACATGCAAAGCTGTTCATGAGCATTATAGACCGTGGCCCATAATGGGATCCTCATTATTTTTATGTAACTTTTTTTGGCATTAACAAGACAGTAGAATTTGACCCCGTGCGGGTCATCTTGCTATACATTCCTTCTATGTGATGATGTGTGTAGGGTTATGGGCAATATCATATAAGTCTTTGGTAACGTGAAGTTACTGAGACATTTATCAGAAGCAAACACAGAAAAAAAGTTTGACAATTCATATTATTGTCTCACCTTGACTGTTTTCATAATAAATCTGCTCACTGGCCTGAAAAACACATGGAAGAGACATTAGACATATAGCCTCTGTTTGCTATTCCAAGCACCAGAGTGGGCAGTGGGCTCTGGTGCTGGATATATAGGCTGGCTCAGTCTTGATTCTTTGTGTAATTCATCCAGGCTTCGCTCAAATCTCAATGGATGGCATTCATCTGAAGTTACCCTGACATTTAACTAATACACCTGTGAACATGGATCATGTCTTACTTGTCACAGATTCCGACTTGTTTTCCTTAAGACTGAAGTCACTGGCATTCTGTCTCAACCACGGATGCACCGTATAGAAAAGTTTACCTTGGGAATGCCGAGGACTTGAGTGTGGCATGAGTCATAGTGTCAGCCAAGCATTAGGTATACAATGCATTAGGTATACAGGCCCTGTATTGGGTCAGGGAAAGATCAAGGACACTCACTTCTTTTGGATAGAGTTATCAGTGTACAAACTTGTGGGAAAACTTTGTTTGCCACTGGGTGCTGTTCTGTTACATGTGCCTTATCTCATCAGCCATCTTTATGTTAATGTTTCCCTGTCACATTTTATATTTAGAGTTGAAACTGTTTTAAAATTACCCTTTCAAATCCTTCATGCATGTAAGTGTCTCCTCCCGGCAGGACCTTCTGGAGTTCTTCTAGGCCCTGACGGATCTGCTCCCTGAAATCCAAATACAACCTGTTAGTCTTCTCAGGCACAGTACGCTTTGCTGTGGATAGGCATGTGCATTAACTTTTTTCTTACCTCCGTGGATGCTGCCGTATTATCCCAAGGGTCCCCCAAAAGCCTATCAGGGGGAACGTCTTTATAGTACGTTATCCTTTCAGGGTCAGCCATAGTGCGGGGTAACTGAAATCTCAAGGATTGAGAGAAAGGAGCCTTTTGCAGGAAATACCCACCTGCTCATAAAAGTTTTCTGCCCTTAACAGGAAAAAGTTTTCATTCTACATTGGAAATGAATCCTAAAATGCAACTGCTCCAGAGGGGACACACGACAACTCAGGCAACTTTATATCAAGATACAAATGGCTCATGGGAGCTGGAAAGAGGGGAGTACCAAAAGCCCGTAGCCGCAGGGACCGCGGGTGGGAGGGACAGGCGTCTGGAGCAAACTCTGCCACCCGCACGGATGTGCCAAAGGAAACCGTGTAGTCAGCTTTGAAAATAAAAGCCCAAGCAATCTACGCTTTCCAGGACAACCAAGAGTGTTTTCTGTGGGCTGGTGCCTGTGTTTTCTTACTCTGGTTGCTCAAGGTGGGTAGAAAGTGGAAGTGGTTATGGCACTGGTGGTGGGAAATGTGGATGGTATGGGGACCAGAATGAATCTTTGTGGACCATTCTCTCTGGTATTTAAGATGTTTATATCCATGTTCTTGTCTTTTAAATAGCTCTATACCATGCTCAAAGGGCAAGAAAGTGTAATTCCTTCCTTCCTTCCTTCCTTCCTTCCTTCCTTCCTTCCTTCCTTCCTTCCTTCCTTCCTCACTCCCTCCCTCCCTTCTTTCTTCTTCTTCTTTTTTTTTGTAGACAGAGAGAGTGTGAGCAGGAGAGAGAGGCAGAGGGAGAGAGGGAATCCCAAGTGAGGCAGGGTCCGAGTTGTCAGTGGGGAGCCCAAGGTAGGACTCCATCTCACCACCGTGAGATCATGACCTGAGCTGAAATCAAGAGTCAGATGCTTAACCAGCTGAGTCACCCAGGTCCCCCTGTCTACTTTTCTTATCAGTGCCCAGATATCAGACCACATGCCCAGCTGCCCATCAGAAACCAGAAGCCTTCCTGGACTCTCCACATTCACTCTCCTTTCTCCTTCCTCTCCCCTACATAAACTGTCATCAAGTCCATCAGTGCTACTCTAGACTCTTCTCTACTTTTCTATCTCTTCTGCCAGTGCCATGGTCTGAGCCATCAGCATCTCTCGCCTAGACCATTAAGACACTTGCTATCTTTTGACTGCCCTCCTGCCCTTCCTCCATTCATTCTCTACACGGCTGTCGTAATAGTCATTATTAAAATACAGATCAAAACATGCCATTCACTCCCCTGCTCAAAATCCTTCAACAGCATTTGATTACACTTAATATAAAATCTGAAATCCTTGCCATGGTTTTCCAAGATCTAGATGGATGGCTCCTCTGCATCCCTGTCCAGCCTTATCTGTATGACTTCGCCCCCAGTCTCCTCACTTGAGCCCCGTGCCCCCCACCCAGGTCTTCCCAAGTAGCTTTCTTCAACAGGCCCTTGACACCTGCAATCACTGCTGCCTGTGGACTGGAGATACCATTTGCCTAGCTCTTCACTGGGCTAATTCTTACCCAGCCTTCAGCCCCAACCTAAATGTTAGTTGCTCAAAGTAATTTTACTTGACTTCCCCTCTTCAGATTTAGACTTTCTCATGGCACCCAACAATTTTTATTTCCTAGCACTTAGGACATTTTATAACCAGTAACATTTGATTGTGTCATGATTTGTTTAGCTACTGTCTGCCCTGACCAGTTCTAGACTTTAATTCAACGCTGTTGTTTGGTGATAGGAAAGGGCAAAATATCTGTGCATTAGAAGGGCAGATAAAGATGAAAGCAGTGTCCCCCATCACTGCCGCCATTGGGAGGGGATAGGGTGGCATTATCAGTCAGCCGGCAGGAGGCAGTATTGCCCTGCCAGTCAGCAGTTCTGTGAGGGTAATGACGGTGGCAATGTGGTGAGAGGGTGAGGCTGGGATATGAAGGTGAGGTTGGGATAGGAAATGGCAGTTTGTTCCTGAGCACACAGAGGTGGCACATGGAGCCCCTCAGAATAGTTGGGGCACTAAGGAGGAGGGGTTAATTTCTGATAAGTAGGTGAGAAGAGACTGGGCATTAAAAGCAAATGTGAAAAAGAAAAGCAAATGTGGTCTTATCTTGGCGAAGTTTGGGACATTTTGACAACACTAAAATTGGAATATTGCGTTAAGACTGAAACTTAAAAAAAGAGGGTTAAAAAAGGCATACTGGGGGTGTGGAAAAGGTTCCTTGGCATCCTTGTATTTTTTCTTTGCCAAATAAAGTCTGGGAACTGGGGTGTTTTCTCTAAGCCTATTTCCTTTACTTTACAAGTATTTTCTTGAGCTTTCTATTTTTTTTGGTACCAGAACAAGCAAAGGCTGTTTTGGAAAATGTCCTTCTCCTTGACACTTGGTGTCTGGCAAGATAGGAACTCACTAGTCCTGAGCAGTGATCACAACCTCTCCATAAAATACCCTTCCTTATGAGAAGATCGAATGACTTACGGCCCCACCTCCCTACGCCCTGCCCATTCTCTAAGCACCTACAACATCTAAGAAAACAAAACAGATGGTTTCGTGGGAAATGTGGGTTGGTTTTAACTGTGGGACAATAGAACTATTAATAAGGGCCTATTTTTTTAATGCTCTCTTAGAAACAGAAGCAAACTGGGAGAAAGATCTTTGAAAGGGGGTGATAAGAACCTCTCTGAGGATTTGGTTATTACCAAATGAAATGTTATCTTCCTGGGAAATGAGAGAGGCGGGGAATTCTACAGAGAGGCTGCTATTCCTGTTTTCCTTAGCAGTTTCATGTCTGCCAATGTTCCCACATATAAGTGAAGTGGTTTCAGGCCACATGTCTTGTGTTTCTTGTACCATCCCTGTAACACTTAATGATGGGCACAGAGTAGATGATCTGTTGTGAAATGAATGATTTCAGCTTGGATGCATCCATGCATCCATGCATTCATTTCCCCAAGTATTTGTTGAGCATGCACCACGTGCCCATCGCGGCCCTGGTTGGTGGTAGTGGGAGGGAGGATCAGTCACGGTGTCTGCTGGACTTTCTGTTGCCCTGGGAAAAGGGAATTTTCCCATACTTGATGAAGATTACTTTCTGAGATTCTGGTTGTGATGTGACATTTCGATAATATTTGCTGATGAAAACATTAAGGATGAACACACATATGCAAGTCAAGAAGCATTTCATTCAACAAGCTTTCCTCTTAAGTATCCTAGTGATGTTCCTACTGCAAAATCCTCCTTGGGCTTATGCAATGTCTACCACATTTTCAGTCTATAAAACAATCTCCACTGCCACCCCAAAATAATCCAACATCAGCTCTGCATTGTCGACTTCTTGCTTCTTAGTAAAAGAGCTTCTGTGGAATTGGACTTCTCTCAAATGTCCGGCAGTTATTGGCTTTGGAGCTTCAACTTATATTGTAAACACACATCACTATTTATTACCACTAATGCTGCATTTACAACATTTCCAGATGGCCTTATGGCTCTAGTTGCTGAGTACCAAAAATATGGAGTGAACAGAACAAAAGATCATAGATTAATTAAAGACATTTTCTTGCTACTTTTGGAGTCATAATGTTCAACAGTCAACCCTACTCATTTGTTTACAATGTATATAAATCATAGTCTCTTTGGGACTTTTACCTAAGGAGAGGCGAACGTGATTAATAATTTCATGATGCATGCTGAACCAAAGATCTTTTCCTCTCTCTGTATATATTTTTTAGTGAGCTATAATTTATAAGTCATATGTACAGATATTTATTCATTTCCTTTATAATTGCTGGATTTCTTTCTATAAAGTTGTCATAATATTCCTTCATTACCTTTTAACATCTGTAGGATCTGTAGTAACATCTTCTCTATAGTAGTTGCCCTATGGATTTCAATTTTCATCTTTATTTTATATAACAGGCTACCATAACTTAATATTATGCCACTTCTCATTTAGTGAAAGAACTCTTTAATATTCTCCATATATCACCTCTCACCCCTTATGTTACTATTGTCATATATTCTACTTTTTATATGTAATAAACTCAAAAATACAGTTATTATATCTATCTTAAACAATCATCATTTTATGAAATTAAGAAAATATTTATCATTTCTGTTATTCCTCCTTCTTTTTTTTTTTTTTTTTTGGTAGATCTAGTTTACATCTGGCATCATTTTCCTTTAGCCTGAAGAATTCCTTTAGCAGTCTGTTGTTGTTATTGTTTTGGTGCAGGTTTGCTGATGATGATAACTTTTTCAGTTTTTTTTAATGTCTTAATTTTTGCCTGTAATTTTAAGGTTATTTTCACTGGATATAGAATTCTAGGTTGTTGTCTTTATTTCCTTTCATCTTTTTAAGGACATCAATTTGTTGTCCTCTGGGTTGCCTGTCTTTGTTTTTTTTTCTGAGAAAAGTAAGTGATTTTCATTGTTGCTCCTCTCTTTGTAATATGTCTTTTCCCTTCTCCCTAAGTTTTAAGATTACCTCTTTATTCTGGTTTTCAGAAATTCAACTATTTTGTACTTAGATGATGGTTATTTATTTATATACTTATATATATTTGTCCTGCTTGGGATTCTTTGAGGTTTTTGGATCTTTGTGCAGAATACCATGTTCAGTACTCCAATTATACATATATTAGACCACTTGATATTATCCCACAAATCAGAGAAGCTGGTCCATCTCCCCCCTCTGCCTCCTCATCATTTTTCTGTCTCAGTTAAAAAATTTTAAGTTTATTTATTTACTTTGAGAGAGAGACAGCGACAGAGAGACAGAGAGAGAGAGAGCACAAGTGGGGAAAGAGCAGAGAGAAAGAGACAGAATCCCAAGCAGGCTCCCCACCATCAGCACAGAGCCCGATGTGGGGCTAGA